TGAGTATCATACTTATCTGTGTTCATTGTCATAGGGAACGCGAGAAAAAGAAAAAGTAGAAGAAAAATATTTAACATTGATAGAAAAAAACCGCAATCATGCTGAAATTGTATGATGAACAGTAAGGAAGAGTTATTTACATACTTTTTATAGTAACTATTATACATGTAGCAATAATTTTCCATTATTTTGTTATACGTTATATACATGTGACACATATAATAAATCATCTTACTCATTATTACACATTGTTATTAATACTATTTTTCTCATGAACTTTTTTATATATATATGGAATGTATGTTCTACTATACGGTAAGAATTATTGTTAAATATAGCTTTGTTAAACAAAACTAAAGTCGACCGAAAATCTATCAACATCTATTTATAGTTTCATATAAGAAAGAGATTGATAGAAGTGAATTGATACTATTGTCGATGTAATTCTATAGATTATGACGATTATTTAAGTACGTACTATACACTATACATAAATGTCAACTTTTGCTAATCAAATATATGTGACAAAAAAAAAATAGCACGAACAAGAATAGTATCAGATGATAGATTAATTTACTCTCCTCTATTTATGCATTGTTTTGACTTGATGAAAACTATTATAGATAAAGATCTATTTTATCTTCAGATATAAATCAATATTAATCCATTATCATCATGTCAGGATTGATATTAAGAGCTGCAAATGAATTTTCAGTTTTTTTTCTTGGCACATCTCGAAGTGATGATTCAACAGGTGATCGTCTTAGTTATCGATATACATGTGCTATACTTATTGTATTTACTGTCATTGTATCTAATCGAGAATTTACTATGAAACGTATTCAATGTTGGGTAAAAGAATTTATTAATATATAAAGAATCAAATTAATATACTTATCAAAAAAATCTTTATTTTTAGGTTCCAGCATTTTTTACTGGAAATTATGAAGATTATACAAATAATGTATGTTTTTCTTTATATTTTAAATTATATTATTTTAATTTAAATAATAGGTATGTTGGGTTCGTAATACGTATTATCTTGATGATGAAAAAGAAATACCAGAAAATCCTGATATACGTTATGAATCATCTATTCGTTATTATCAATGGATACCATTCATACTTTTATTTCAAGCATTTTTTTTCTTTGCACCATACGTTTTATGGAGAGCGTTGTCTCAACGATCAGGTAGAATTATTAATATTAAAAAAACAAAATATTCTCGAGTTTTTTTTTTCTTTTTTTGAATAAGGAATTGATGTTCGAGATATTGTTGAAGCTGCAACTAATTATAAAAAATCAACAGATGATAAACAACGTGAACAATTAATGAAATATATGGTATCAATTATTGATCAATATGTTGATGATCCACGTCGTCAATCAAATAATCGTGAAAAACTTTGGTGGAAAAAATGTTTTTTAGTATTTTTTCCATCATCTGGTCGTTATATGGGAGATTATTTAAGAAATTTATTTCTATTTATTAAAATACTTTATACAATAAATGTTTTTGTACAAGTGTTACTTTTATCTTTTCTATTAGGTCAACCATTTTGGTCATTAGGTTTTACAGTTCTTAGATTTTTATATGAAGGACAAGGTTGGAATTATCAAAGTCGATATTTTCCAAAAGTAACATTATGGTGAGAAGATATTATAAAAAATATTTTAACATAAAAATTTATTTTCTTTTTAAAGTGATTTTCAAATTCGTGAGCCAAATGCATTGCCTATTGCACATACATATACGGTTATGTGTGTTTTGCCAGTTAATCTCTTTAATCAGGTTTAAATCTATTTGTAAATTTCAATAATCTATATGTCGTTTACTTTTATCTTTTAGCAAATATTTACATTTTTATGGTTTTGGCTTGTTATTGTTATTTTTTTTACAATATATGATTTTTTTATATGGATATATCGATTATTTTTTCGACGAGAAATTCATTTAATCGGACGTTTAAAAGTCATGAATCGAGAATTAGCACAAAAATGGCCTTTTGCTGATTCATGTGCAAATCATATTAATGAAGAAGAAAATGAACATATGATGAAAGGTAGAAAATAATAAATATAAATTGAAAATTTAATAAGAGAATATAATAAAAATGAAAAAAAAAAATTTAACAATTCATTTCTATTCTAGATAAAGATTTGAAATCAATAAATATTACTTTGATAGAGATAAGAATATTAAACTTAAGATATTATTATCATTGACATTCTTCTATGCTTATTCGTGCTGACGTTTTTTTTTTTTCTTCTTTTTGTAAAGTACAATATTCTTCGATTTTTTTTTTCTATCGTACATGCTAAATTTAATACGACATGAAACATAACACATTTTTATAGACGTGCTGGCATGCGCCATCAGTAGTCTTTTGTTGTCATTGATGATAAAAAACAATGTAACTTCTCCTTCTTCTATTAAATGTTATAGTGTAACACCAATGGGAATTTTTTTGTATTATATAAGCGAAAGAATTTTCTGAACTATTAGAAACTTATGATTAAAAGAAGCTATTTGTTCAATGTCCTTAGTGGGAGAAAAAAAAGACTCTTGAAATAATTAATAAATGGAGCATAGATGCTGAAGTATTATAAACGAATCTTTTGAAAATATTCTCAAGTCTCATAACGACAGAGTTGTTTGTTTGTAACAATCCTATATAGATACTTTTTATTCTATAAAATTACATTTGTTTTATAATAAAAAAATAGTGTACTATCTAAAATGATGAAAAAATTTTCAAAAATTGATAAATTTTTTTTTAGAGAAAAATCTCATACTCGTATTTAATGAAAGAATACTATGAAATTTATAATTACCAATCTCATGATTTTACAAAAAAAATTGAGAAAATTTGCCAATAATAAAAGATTCTTTTTTTTTTTTTATCTTTTCTTCGGTAACATTATAATAAATCTTATTATTCTCTGTTATTCTAATAGAAGAAAGAAATCTAATCGATTAATAAATATATTCATATTCTAGTTCAAAATCGTGATGAATCTATGGTTACTGGAGATCAAGTCTATGTTTTAAGTGATGGACGAAAAATTCATCATCAATCAAGAATGTTTATTGTACCTCGTATTTATTATAAGAATAATCGAACAATATTTCAATTTTTTAATAAAGAATATTTAGAATCTGATGGATATTTTATTTTACGAATTATTAGTACAAATGCTAGGTAATAATTCGAATCAATTAATATTTCAATTCAAATAAAAAACAAAAAAAAATCTATTTTTTTGATTTTAGTGATTTTGTTGCAACTAGAGTCATTCATCATTTATATGAATTATGTTGCGAAAAACGATTTCGTCCTTATGAAGTACAACAAGAAAAACCACCACCTCGAACAACTCTTTACAAATATATAATTATACCTAAAGAAGCTCCGATACCATTACAACCAGAATTAGAACAACCAACAATACCCTTTGATGAAATGCAACGAACAAATAATTCATCTGCTCCACCTCTTGTACCTCGTTCATCACGGAAGGATGATAAATCATCAGAAAAAAAACGAGAAACATCAGGTAATTCATTTTGCATTGAATATGAAATTCGATCATCATCTGATATATTTTGCATTTTTAGAAGATGCTAAAACACGAGAACAATTATCAAGACTGTCCCAATCTCAGTCAAAACGTAACGAAGAACAGTAAAAAGAAAATGCAATGTGATATTTTATCATTTTGGCTATATTTTGTGCCTTTTTTTTCCATGTATCATAATAGATTTCAGGGAATAAACATAAATTTTTGTCGCTCATGAAAAAATATTTTCGTTTGAATTTTGAAAAGTAGCATTTTTATGAGGTATACATCGCGTTCAAGATATGTTGTGAAATTTTTCATAATATTCTATGCAAAAATTGTTTTTGATTTATTCTAATCGATATTGAGAACATTAAAAAGAAAATTGTATAAAATGCTATTATTTTCCATTCTTCTCATTTTAATTATTTACTTTTTTTATCTAAATGTTAATTATTGTGTGCGGCTTTCAAACATCAAGAAGAACATTCAAACAGTATCACTGTATCTAAAAAATAAGTGTTTCAACAATAAACTTGTTATTTTTAGAATGTTTAGTTCACTGTTATAGTGAATATTGTCTATTCAAAAAATATAATGTGCATGGTCATTTTTGCAATAACTTAGGAACAAAGAAAGTTGAACAGCTGCTGTTCTTACTATTGTATAGGTATATGAATACTATGAATCCATCGATCAATCAATGGAAATCTTCGCATTTTTGCAATTTCTTTATCATAAGTTTTCTAAAAAGTTCATCACGACTTTATTAAGTTACATAGGAACTTATGTATATAAATTATGAAAAAAATACCTAGAAAACTCGGTACAAAATGACGCAAAATCAATTTTTATAACTTTTGTGGTTCTCAAATAGCAATCATATTTATGATACATAAGAAACCCATTTACTTCAGTATTAGTAATCGCAAAAACTACAGTCGAATACATGATCAAGATGATTTTTATCTTGTAGAAAACTATCGAATTGAAGATAATTGATACTTTCATATCGATACGAATGAAACGATTTACATAGAAAAAAACCTATAGTCAGAGTGATCAATTGAAAATTTTGTAAGAGGAAAAATATAATTTTATGCACTTCTATAGTATAAAGTGATGTTTATTAAAAAAATGACATATTTACTATCTTTATAGTTTGTGTATCTGATATCAAATTTTTGTCCATGTGTCACATGAACTTATTAGAATAGTTCATATATTTGTTCGTCTGTCGGCAACGTATCTAAGCAAAACTAATAAATATATGACAAAAAAAAATCGATCGAGCTTTTTATGCCCTGTTCAATGAGTAAAAATAGTATTGTCTAAACAAGATTTAGCATTTAATTAATAAAAAAAAACTCCTGTTCGCTCCTATTTGCTTTTACTTTAATTAAGTAAATATAAATGAGAAAAAAAAAATTTTAAACCATTAAATCAAATGTCGTCTCATTTCTTTAAGTCCATCACGTGTCATTGCAGCTGATTTTGGTGTAAAACCAAGTTGAACAACAAGAGATTTTTCAAATTCTTCATCATTACCACTCATCATATATCTGGATAGTAATTGATGAGCCATAATAATTCTTAAATAAAAAAAAAAAAAGAAAAGCAAAACAAATAAAATAATAAGAATTTATATGATATATTGTCAGACCCTTGTTTTTCACATAAATCTCCATGTTTTGGACCAATACCAGGCACACAAGTCACAGGTTTGATTGTCAATGGTTCATTGGCAAATGAGCACTTAATAATGTGAGAAAAAAAAAAAAAACTTTCTGGTTTATATCTATTTTAATCAATCGCTTACATGTTTCTTTGTACAAAGACGTGGTTGATCATCATTATTTGAATTCATTGGTCTAGTTAATGCTCGTTGAGCTAATTGATTTATTATTGCTTTTGTTATTTCTTTCTTATTAAATAAATCATTTGAATCATTATCATTATCAAATTTAGGCGCGTGTTGTTGAATAATATGCTCGATCTTATGATCATTTGATTCAATTGAATCAGTAAGTTCCTTGTTATGTTCAACTGTTTCTTTAGGCAAATGTGGAGCTTTTATTTGATTTTTAATAGCATTTTTCTTTTCATCACCACCACAACAACTTATATTGATAGATTTTTGTTGAGAATTCATACTTGTTATCCATTGATTAACATCACGTAAAAGAAAATTACTAGGCAGATGATCTTCTACAATTGGTAATTTGATTAGTGATCGTTCTGATACCGTTTCTTGAGAGTTTTGTTGTTGTTGTTTTATATTCATTTCTTTACTACGAGAACGATTACTACGAAAAAATGAACGAACAGTGAACGACATAAGATTGAAAGTAAAAAAAAAAAAAATAATGATTAAAAAATATTCGTCAATTAAATGAACACAATCTGCATACAGGTTGCTAAGATGTGATATTAGTTACAAAATATTATTATAAATAACAAATCATTTTAAAAACTTTTAATGCTTTTCTTTTTTATCTTTTAAAAATATTTCGACATATCTAATTTGAAGATGGTCTAATTTCATGAAAGTAATCGATGTTATTTGTTTTCTTTACATGACAAGTGTATGTTTAAGCACTTACGAATTTGATACCAATCAATGCATAATTTCAAATTCTTTAATATTTCAAAATTTTTCATTAGTTTTAACAATAGAAGCAAGTATAGAGTTGATTCTTAGTGTTTTACTTATTCTTTCGTTTATGAACATTTAACAATGATTCATTATTTCCTCTTCTTTATCTATTGAGTGAATAAATATCTCTACATCGGCAGAGTTCCATTTAACGAATATTACCGAAGTAATCTTTAGTAAAATCGTTTCCTTTTCTATTCCGGTTATATTTATAAAGACCAATGATTAATATATGTGGGAGAAAAAAATAATAAAACTAAAGTCAAAAGATCATTCATAGAGTAGAATATTTATTGAGTTCGAACCTTGGAAGATATTCATATATAGCTACTCTCATATTTTCTTTCTAAGGTCTCTAATTAATATTCAAGTTACAATATTCTATTTCAAATGTGTAAAAACTTTGTGAGTATTTCTTAATATAGATTTTTGATCGACGATTGCTGTTGCCTGATAGAGTATTGTATGAATACAGATATATTCAAAGATCATTTCGATAATATGAATATTTTAATAAATTATTCATGACAAGCATCTTCGCATATTGATTTTCTTCTTTGTTATTTGTAAAAATAAATCAAATTTATTATTTCAAAGACAATCAATAGAAACGATTTTTTTTTTGCTAATTTTCCTTCTTGAATTGAACGTCACTTTAATGTTGTAGGATTTACATTGACTGATAGAAGAATTTATTTAGATCCAAAACAATTGACGAATAGATTTTGCATTTGTATTGTTGCGACAATTGATTGTTAAGTATGAATGTTTTCGTCTGTTATCATACATATCACTTATTCTTTACCTTTTTGTTGTATATTTTCTTTTAACTCGTCATTGTATACCTAATCATATGTTGTTTTTGCTATTATGATTACATGATTTTCCACTATGCAAAACAATACTGATATGATCAAAATAATTGCATGAATTCAAGCCTTTCTTGTATAAAAAATATTTATGATGATTGTTTCTTTGTTTTACTGTACTATTTCGTGCACAATAACTTGTTATTATCTTCCATTTAAGCAAATAAATTAAGTGAACAACTAAAACATATTTCAAAAAATTAGAAATATCAATCGGCCTGGGCTTGATCTGTAGATATTCCGAGCCAAATCGAGCCAGGCCAGAAAAAAAGCGACCCATTGGCAGCTCTGATAGAGAATATGTTAAAGAAAATAATTTTATTTATTGTTATGTATTGTGCATTATTTCATGCATATGTGGTTAGCAAAATTATAACAAAAGCTTTGATATATTTCAAACACGATAACGTACCTATCAGTTATGTATTTCACATATATATATATAATGGAGATGATAATCAACTCGATGGTTAATGTAGGAGATGTTTCGATGTGATGAACGATGTTCTTTTTAGTTGAACCTAGAAAAGTCTATGAATATTGACTGGTAAGGAGTTTTTTTTTTATCATACAGACAATGCACTGATAAGTGCTAGTAAATGTATTTAAATCTATGTTAACTGACTAGTTTATATTAAAAAACAAGAAAATATAAATTATCCGTAACTTTAAACGTAAATGAACTTCTGAATTTTATTGGTTGTTAGAACATTTTGCTGAATTAGTAATTTATTGAATCGATAATTACATATCTTAGAAACAAAAGTATGATTATCTTTTGTTAAGTTTTTATGAGATTTCCAACTATGCTTGATAAATGGAGCCAGTAATTCAGCAAATATAATATTTATATTCATATGAAATATTACTTCTAAAAATATTTTTCAATTTTTTTTTTTTTTGAATAGGCTTATAATAGTTAAACTTTTGAAATGCCTCTTCTTTCCTAATTGTATAATCATTTAGAATTCAATGAATTTAGTCAGATTATCAGATATATCGATTAATATCATATAACATATTCTGAACTATAATAAAACAAAAAAAAAGGTACAAGTCTCACGAGAAAATTCTCATCTACATCGAAAACATTTGCCTTCATTTCTTTCTATTTGCTAATAAAATGAATTGCTAAGTACATTTTCAAATTTGATTTTATACTTTTAGTTAAGCATAAAAAAACTCATCAATCTCCATATCTATTATAATAAACTAAGTATATGCTTTTTTTCGGAAAACAAAAACAACTACTTATAAATTGTTAATTTTTCAAATCATATTTTCAGGTTTGACATATTTATCAAATTGTTCTTCTGTTAAATAACCAAGAGCCAATGTTGCTTCACGTAATGTTAGTCCTTCTACATGTGCTTTCTTAGCAATCTCTGCTGCTTTATCATAACCAATGTATGGATTCAGTGCTGTCACTAAACAAAATTTAATATATATATATATAAACAGAAAGAATCAAATTCTCCTGTATCATTTACCTAACATAAGTGATTCACATATATAACGTTTTAATACAGGTGTATTTGGTAAAATTCCTGATATACAATGAATAGTAAATGAATGACAAACATCAGCAAGAATTCTTATTGAATGAAGAACATTTCTAATAATCAATGGTTTAAAAACATTCAATTCAAAATGTCCCATTGAACCACCAATAGTAACAGCAACATGATTACCCATAACTTGTGCAGCTATCATTGTCATAGCTTCACATTGTGTTGGATTTACTTTACCAGGCATAATTGAACTACCTGGTTCATTTTCTGGTAATATCAATTCACCTTAAAAATAAAAATAAATATAAACAATGTTTCATAATAACTGATAATAAAGATACATTTTAAGTTTTATTCTAATATATGTTTTTGCAAAAAAAATTGTCTAGTAAATTTTCTTTTCATCAAATGTTTATAAATATTACTGATCAACAAAAATCAAGTACGAAAATTCATGTATTTTTATCTTATCCATACATTTTATAATAATAATAATAATAAACAAAAATACACTTACCTATACCACAACGAGGTCCTGAAGCCAAAAAGCGTATATCATTGGCAATTTTCACTTTAAATAGAAAAATCACATTTTCAAAAAAAAACAAAAAAGACAAATAATAATTTTTATCTTACTTAAACTAACAGCTAATGTATTTAGTGCACCACTCACTTCAACCATTGTATCATGTGTAGCTAATGCTTCAAATTTATTTGGTGCATCAACAAATGGTAATTGAGTAAGTTTATTTAAAGTTTGTGCTACAAATTTTCCAAATTCTTTCGGTGCATTAATTCCAGTACCAATAGCTGTACCACCAATAGCTAATTCATATAAACGTATTTCACAAGTTTTTAAACGTTCAATTCCCATAGCAATTTGATGTGTATAAGCAGAAAATTCTTGTCCAAGTGTCATAGGTACAGCATCTTGTAAATGTGTTCGACCAATTTTATAAATTGATGAAAATTTTTCAGATTTCTTTTTTAATTCACTATGAAGATAATTCAATGCTGGATATAATCGACGATTCAATTCTAATAAAGTAGCTATATGCATAGCTGAAAAATTAAAATTTTTACAAAATAAAATTATTCATTAATAAAATAATCCTACCAGTAGGAAATGCATCATTTGAACTTTGACTTTTATTAACATGATCATTTGGATGAACAGGTTTCTTACTTCCCATTATACCATTAAGAATTTGTATTGCTCGATTTGAAATAACTTCATTAATATTCATATTTGTTTGTGTACCTGATCCTGTTTGCCAAATACTTAATGGAAAATGTTCATTTAATTTTCCATCAATAATTTCATCACATACTTGTGATATAACATCGGAAATTTTATTCTCAAGACCAAATTGTTTATTTACTATTGCACATGTTTTTTTTAATAATCCAAATGCTTCTATTAATGGTAATGGCATACGATCTAAGGAAAAAGTTAATTTGGAAAAAAAAAAATATTTTCTTATATTTACCAGTTGGTAATCCAATATTAAAATAAATCATTGAACGAGCTGTTTGAGCTCCATAATAATATTTAGATGGTACTTCAATTGGACCAAATATATCTGTTTCTTGACGTGTTTCTGTAGGGGACTCTTGAATTTGATTCATTTTTATAATCTTATTATATTAAAATATTTAGCTATGTTTTGTCGTTTCTTTTTTCTTAGCGTAGATGAATCATATACATGTTTACTTGATTATTTGTTGGTTAGAAATAAGAGGTGGCAGCAAAGGCCATTAGAATCTATTCATTTAGATAAGTATTAAAAAGAAAACGAATCTATATTGACTCTTTATTTCACTTGAAAGAAATAGACAAAAATTCTATATATAGATATACAAATAGTCATAATACAAATATTAAAGATTACATAGCATATAAGAATTAATTAGACAAAATAGTGAAAAGAAAATATATATATTCAAACAAATATTTGTAATTGAGGGTAAAAGATGAATAAGTTAGTCCAATAATATCATCACAACATTGTTTATAATGCTATACAGTATCTTTTGTACGTTTACGTTAAACACCTAATTCTTTGCTTTGTACAATAACTACTTTTAAATTAGATTCTAATACAATTTTACTCCGATCATCTTCAATAAATACATCATAAATAAAACGACTTCTAAATATTTAAAAAATACAGAGTAACCCAAAAGTAACCTAATACAGATTTTTTTTTTCACTTTTTTTCTTCGTACATCATCAGTTAGATCTCTTATTTATACTACATATATACTAGGTGATATAACTCAAAGAAGTAACAAGTGATCGGTATCTAGATGTAGTAATTTGTTCAAAAGTGTACAAATATAGAACAGTTAAAAGTAAGAAAGTGCGTTTAACAGTTATAGTTTTGCTGTCACAATATATATTATTTTATCTTCCGTACTAGTACTTATACCTGTGCTAGCGGTGGCATCTGCAGACAATAGTATAAGTGGTTTACTCTTCTATCCACTGGTTTATTTTTTTGTTTTCTATATATAAGTACTACCCAGTCAGGCAAAAATTTTGAGTAACGCGCTTAAACGCACAAACGGGAGCCGCGATTGTGAGCCATTAACGCTCCTTAAAAAAACGCGTGTATTAGCGTTTTCTGTAACTTTTTGGGAGTCAAAACGGCGAAAATTTCAGTTTTTGAACGTTAAAACGCCTTGTTTTTAAATCCTAGAATAATAGCACGTTTTAGCGCTCAAAAACTGAAATTTTCGCCGTTTTGACGCCCAAAAAATTACAAAAAACACTAATAAACGTGTTGTCGTGCGTGTTTTTAATGAGCGGTAATGGCTTACAATCTCGGCTCCCGTTTGTGCGTTTTTCAAAATTTTTGTCTGACTGGGTAGCAGAGGAGATAAAATAATATATGTTATTATGACAGCAAAATAATAACTATTAAACGCACTTCCTTACCTTTGACCATCCTGTACTTGTACACTCTTCAAACAAATTACTATATCTAGATACTGATCATATGCTACTTCTTTGAGTTATATCACCTAGTATATATGTGGTATAAATATGAGATCTAACTGACGATGTACAAAGAAAAAATTGAAAAAAATTCTGTGTTAGATTACTTTTGGCCCACTCTGTATAAGTATAAGATTAACTAGATATTTCGCTATAGTTTTTTATGATCTTTAACCTTTATATCACTACTTATATTTAATCCATTTTTTGATTTTGTTCCGTTCTTTGTCAAAAGACATGAATAACTTTGTTTTCATCTCAGTACGATTGTCAATGTATTACTTCGCTCAATTTTCTCTTCTATTGATATTGAAGTTTAGCTGATGACTAATAGAGTAAGTCACATATAAAATTCATTCTAGGTGAATATCATATATCTATAAAGAGAAGAAAATAAGAAGTTGATCTGTTATTTATGCAATTTGAGATATAATCTAAAAATTCTATCAGTTATTATTTTTTTAAAAGATCTGGTGTTTTGAATCTTAGAAAGATAACAAAATATAAAACGTTATGATAGTATGCAGAATTAATTTTTTTAAATAAATACCTACTTAATCATTTGTGAAAGAGATAGAAAAATAAATAAATGCAACAAACATCGCCAGATATTTGATAAAGATGGTATATAGACCCCACAGAATATCTTGATCTCTAGGGCAGATTCGAGTAACATACAAAACGTGATCCTGTAAGTATCTTTGATTGCTCTATTAAGAAGAGAGGAATATGTAGTTTTTTTTTTCTTATTTCATTTCACTCAAGTTTTTTAAATGTTACAAAGGATGATAGTCATCTCATATCTGAAGCAGGGATGTCAAATAAAATATTTACATGAAAAAAACAACGCTTCATTTTCGGTACACACAAAAATTATGCTAAAAGTATTCCGAGATCAATAATATCACGTCGATAAATCCTTCAAATCTCGTGATAGATAACAACTAATCGAAATCGACTGTTTAAACCGTAGATTTTGAAATAAGTTTTATGTAGAACTTTTTTAAATTCTATTTTTCGTTTAAAACATTATGAATAATTTACAGAAAATTAAATTTCGAATATATGATAGTGTTAGCAAAAGTTTTTTAAATCACGAGATAATATTTTTTTGAATTTTTGCGACAAAAAAGAAACGATATTGTTTATTAGTCTTTTTTCGTTAGTACATAAATACGTGTAATTCGTAATAAATTTTGACAGAAAAATTTTCGCACAACGTGATCTATAAGCATTTGATCTTAAATATTTCATTACTCATGATATAATTTCAATCGTGTCATACTAAATCAAAAAATCTTAACAGATTTTTTTTTTCTTTTCGTGCTTCTACACAATACATACACTTTTACCGTTACTTTGTGCTATGTTTGATTGAATTATATGTATGTGTACGAAGAAATGTATGAATTGTGTAAAAGAACCTTTCTTTCTCTGAAAAAAGAATCTATGCAAATGTGTATCCATGTAATCAATGTTCTATAACGCCCTCTCTCTCTCTCGCGCTTACATGCTACATATAATTTCAATCCACTGATGAGAAAATAAGTGAAGAAAGAACGAAAGAAAATAGTAGACAACAAGGATTGATTTTTTTTTTATCAAGTAATACAATTGGCAGGCATAATGTTTTTTTTTAGACAGCGCCACTTACTAAGCATTTTGTTTCAGCATACCAGTGATGATTCAACTATACTGTACTTTCGTTCGTTCGTTCTTTCGTTCTGCTATTTCATTAAAAAAAACAATTAAATTTTCATGTTTTTTTTTTTTTTTCTTCAACATTTATTTACGATACGAAAAAGAATTATATTTGTTCTTATCTTTGAAGTGATTACTTTATTCGAAAATATGTTTTCATGCATCATGTTAAAATGCAAACGTCATCATGACTTGCCAATTGTTTTCCAAATATCATATAATCTCACAGTTTTTTTTTTCTTCTTATTTTACAGATTTATTAAAAAATTAAAAAATAAATGGGTTTACTAACACAAGGACATCCATTAGATTGGGAAGAAACAAAAAAATATGCACAATTTATACGTGAACATGGCATCGAACAATTTATTCATATTTATAAAAAACTTAAAGATCGTCGAAATGATTGTCTTAAATGGGGTGATGAAGTATGAAAAAAAAATTCTTGATCAAAAGTAAATAATTTTATATATAATATATATATTTGCATTTAGGTTGAATTTCTTATGGTACGTTTTGATCATGAAAAGAAAAAAGTACAACTTGTTCTTAAAGCTCATGAAATTTTATCCACTCTTATGGAACCGGAAAATAACAATCCTGAGTAAGAATTATAATTAATAAAAATGAATTGAAAAAAAAAAAAAACAGATAACTTTTTATATTCAGTGATTGTGTAACACTATGGCGACCAGAATATGCAGTAAGTCAAATAGACAAACATAATCGAATCGATTTTTATTTATTTTATTGTAGGATTATATGATTGAAGGTACGCCTGGTAAACCCTATGGATATTTGCCAGTGCATTTCAATATGGTGGAAGCAAATATGCGTTTACGGTAAATATTAATATTATTATTAAATATAAAGAAGCAAAAATAAATAAATATTTTTCAGTCGACAACAAGGTCAACAATTACTTGGTAAAGATGAGTATGTTCTAAGCACTTCAAACTTTCTTCGGTATGAATTTTTGTTTTTGTCAAAAAGAAAATTATCAATTTTAGAAGAATTTAATTATTTAGAAACGGATGTCCTGATTTTACTTGGCCTGTTCATAAACCAACACCAAGTACATCAGCATCTGCTTCACTTTTCTTTCCTGATGAAGTTATTTTTCCTGATCATCCACGTTTTAAGTAATATAATAAAATTAATCATTATTATATTATTCTATTTTTCTTCAGAACATTAACACGAAATATTCGTATGCGACGTAAATCTAAAGTCGCCTTTCATGTTCCACGTACGTACAAAACAAAATAATCTTTTCATGAATTGTTTGTTTTTTTTTTTTTTTTCTTATCGTAGTTTTTATTGATAAAAATACTCCTCGACCATTCATTGAAAATTTATCAATATATGGACATGATAATAATGCTAATGAATCAACTCCTATTAAAGATCATATTTATCTTGATGCAATGGGTTTAGGTATGGGTTGTTGTTGTTTACAAGTTACATTTCAAGCACAATCAATTGATGAAGCACGTTTTCTTTACGATCAATTGACTCCATTAACTCCTATTATGGTATATATATTGATCCATTCTGTTTTATTTTTGTGTATTATTTTCTTTGTACTTTTTGTTTTTTTTAAAGTTAGCATTGAGTGCATCATCACCGATATGGCGTGGATATTTAGCTGATACTGATTGTCGATGGAATATATTATGTGCTATGGTAGATGATCGAACACCTGAAGAACGGGGTCTTGAAGTAAATAGTTGAAAATTTTATTTCTCGAAATAATTTTTTTTTCTATATTTTAGCCATTAAAAAATGAACGATTTCGTTTATATAAATCACGTTATTCAAGTGTTGATTGTTATATTTCACCAGATAGTGCTATGTATAATGATATTGAAATTGTTCAAGATGGAGATGCTTTTCGTAAACTTATTGAACATGGTAAGATGAGATA